TGGAGAGTTCTAAGGATGCGGGATACTACTGAATGCCACATTGTCAACCCATGGTTTAACAAGCACATTTATTGCTCATTGTTCACAGCAAATGCAGCCAATTTGAAGAAAAAAATGTTTACTTCACAACTGAATAGGAACTCATTTCATTTCGCATTTTCAAATCCAACCCTGAAGTGAATTTTGGTGAATCTTGCTAACCCCTGACCATCCGAATTATGTAATATTTAATTGCCAATCTAAGTAATAATACTAACATATTGTAAGATAAGAATCCTCTGTGAAACTGTATGTTTGACAAAACCATGAACAAAGATGCATCTTTGGGAAGAACTGAACACATACATGGAAAAAGGCAAAACCCAGCTTGACAGGTTTATAAAAATGAGGAACTGTCCCAATTTGGATCAGACATAGGATGGACAAAGGGGTAGAATTAGATTGGAAATAAAGTACAAAGGGAAAGATGCTTTCCTGCTTAAAATCCCACCCCCAGCTATAATTTTCTCCATTATTGCAAGTTGCTAGGAATAGTGGCTTCTGAAAATAAAATCTGTTGCAAAAAACAGACTGAGTATATGTACCTTTTGAAACAATGTAAGATTAATGCCACAGGCCATTGGAGCTAATGTGCTCTCCTTTTTATGCACCAACTGGAAGGGAAGTTTAATCAGGTGCTTTAAGTGAGATAGTATGTGGACGGGTCCACTGTGTTGAGAACATAGTATCAGTACAAGGCAGTCCCTGGGTTAAGAATAAACTCCGTTCCTAGGTTTGTCTTTAACTCAGATTTGTATGTAAATTGGAACTCGCACTTACAAACAGACTGCCTGCTACTAAAAATGGCAGATGGCATTCTCCTTCCTCGAGCCAATGAACTGCTGAAACTGCAATGTTTTCATGAACTGCTGAAAACCACTGAAAATAGGCTGTATATTAAAAGCACACGGCTTCAGCGGTTCATGAAAACATCGTGCAGCTTTAGCAGTTTGTTGGTTCCAGGAAGGAGAACACCGTCCACCATTTTTAGTACAGGCAGCCTGTTCATAAGTGCAAGTTGTCCATAACTTGGACATTCTTAAACCGGGGACTGCCTGTATGGCCTTCAACTGGGTGAAAAATCTGTGAAAGCACCCAACTTTGAGGCTAATTCTTTCTAAAGCCTACCTGAGTAACACACACACACAAATCCAGTTTGCTTTGCATATACCCAGGATAAGCAACCATTTTGTGAACACACTGAATTTCTGCAGAATGGCCAGGACTGTGGCAAACCTATTGGCAGGGATTTACTTTACTTTACTTTTTTACTTTACATTTTATTTGCCCTGGGCATTTGGACGGGCAGACATTTTGGGATTTTTTGTTTGGTTGGTCGTTTTGCTTCTTTAAAACCCCATGAGGTTTATATAAGTTTTATATATATATAAAATTCTTTTTTTATATTATATAGGTTTATATAAAGGCTCAAGCCAGTATTGGCATTTTTCCTTTCTCAAAGCGGCAATATCATTAATTTTCAGCAACCATGTCAGAAGCTTATTCGGAAACAAGGTTGCCACAAACTGTTCAAGGGCTTCAGTTTATCATCTGCATCTTTGAATGGCACCCTTTTCTTTCTCCAATTTTATTATTATTTTTGTTTATTTAAGCTTTCACATGTTTTGCTTTGCAGCTTCTGTCCCGCCCATGGGTAGAGATTCCTGGGATGGCTCCATTCAATTGTTATAAGAAGAAAACATTTACCTCCAAAAGTTCAAGCCAGCCCATCCCACCACTTGAAATAAACAAAGGAAGAGCACCATGTCTGGATTCAATGGGCTGGGGCCGGAAGAGGGGGCAAGGGTGTGGCTTAATCCAGCTTTCCATCAGACCTGACCATTAGTCATGCCCATTAGTAGGAAGACCAGAGAGGAAAAGAGAAGACTGTGAGGAGATGTGATAGTTCCCCTCAAGTATCTCAATGGCTATCCTGTACAAGATAGGACAGAATCATTCAGTGTTGGAACAAGAATCATTCAGGGCAGGACCAAAAGCAACGGATTGAAATTACAAGGAAGCAAATTTTGCTGGACCTCAGGAAACATTTCTTAACAGCAAAAGCTGTTCAACAACAAAACAGACACCCTTGGGAAGTAGCAGGCTCTCCTTCATTGGTGATGTTTCAAGAGAGGCTGAATGGCCATCTGTTGGGGATGCTGTAGTAGAAGACTCTTACACTGGACAAGAAGTTGGATTAGATGATCTCCAAAGTCCCTTCCGCCCTTTCCATTCTGTGGTTCTAGCTTTCTAGGAAACAGCTAGATTGATCCTGAGTTATGGGGATTGTTCAGAAAAGTCAGGGGCAACAGAGAAGGCATTTGAAGCTGGCTGAAATGCCCCCAAACACAAGAATGGAATTGTCCATGAGAAACTACCCGCATTCTATCAGCATTCATTGGCTACTTCTTTTTCCTGTCCTTGATTGGAGAAGTGTGTTCAAAGTGCATGGTGTTGCCACCTCCAAACTGAACTCCCGAGAGGTTGTTGGCAGTGATAGAAATTCCACCGTCTGGAGGACAAGAAAAGATTCACCTTTGTTAAAAATCAAGTTAAGTAGAGAAATATGTTACAGGGACTAGAATACCGTCACCTGACAGATGCTAGGCCGGGTGCACAGTAACCCGGCTATTAAACTGTGCAGAGGACAGCCACTGAAACCCAGGAAAAGATGTGGGTTTTTTCAGGAGTCCAGATGGGTATTCTGTGCACTCCGAAGCATCTTTTTGCCTCTGAATCTGAAGTCCTGAAGAGTCCTAATAACTACCCTAAGAACAATTGGTGGGACAGCTTGGGTTACAGTATGACGTTCTTTGTCTTCCTTTGCTTACTAGTTCTCTCTTTGCTCAAGAATTGGGCCCCTGTCCCCAAACTGCCACATCAAATGGGAATTTTAAGGTCCTCATGCATCTGGAAGACACCCTCTTGGGGAAAACAGCTTTGGAGTAACAAGAAAATGTATCTGATCTGTCATCTGCATGAAAGCCTGGCATTATGCTGACACTATATCTTTTAAACATACTTAGAAAAGGATCAGTCCTGATTGGGGTGAGCAACCTACAGGTAGCAGACAGAAGGCACCCTCCAGCATCCTTTGGGCATCTCCCATGTTACCCTACAGAAATTGGGGATAAAAGTATTGATTTTGGCAGCCACCTGTTTTAATTTTTTTTTTCTTTCAGAAATAATCCTCTGCAAGGTTTTGGCAGCAAGACCACAAAATGACTTATGATACCCATTTTGACCTTTAAATCCCCCCTCTCTTTCTTTGTGGGGGGGGGGGGGTTGAATACTTCATGTTTCAGATTCTTCCTCTTAAGCCTCCACTAAGCCCCAGGTCCTTCAAAACTCAAGCTGAATGTTTTGGCCCCACGCCCCCTCTGATGATGACATTGAATCACCCTTACCATCCATCCTTTCCCCCACTCCCCATATGCTCCTTGGTGTCCAAAGAAGTTTTTAACGAACTTGGACATCTGGCTCTAAGTCGTTGACTCCAATTTGTCATGGTTGGTTATATTTCTGGAAGATTTGCTTTTACTCACATGGAACTGCAGGTGCATAACGCCATAGGAATGATGGATCCTGCTGTACAAATCCAGCATCACCTTGATGGAAGCCATAAGGTGGCTGGTAAAAAAAATATTCAGATGAGAAAAAGGGAAAAATACATGGGTGAGTGAGTAGGGAAACTGTGAAGGTACCCATTGACTTATCCCCTAAGATCACTTGGATGCCCCAAACTGAAATGGACTAAAAAAATCAGTTTAAATCATTGATACAGCCATGGTTTGCTTAATTATGGTTCATTTGATAAACTACAGTTGACTGAGTTCATACAACATGCTAAGCAATTCCACTTCTCCAACTCTGCAAGATCTCACACAATCTCTCTCAAAATGTGGATACCCTTACTTGAAACCTCTAGAGATCTCATGTGAGGACCCAAAGATCTCATGAACTTGGATAACCTCATGTGTGATTTCAGCCCTTCTTTTTAATTTAATTTTATGGAGAATTGCAGTTCTACCAGCACTATCAGGGAGGATTGCTGGTATCACGCTGCACAAGGAGCATGTTGCATCTGAATGTATTCTATCGAAATATAGTATAATGGCATTGCTTTCTTCGGTATCTATGAGAGACCAGAAAGGGTAGTGAACAATCTTCCTTCTAGAGGAGGTCTTTCAAGAAACACAACTCCCTTCACACCACCCAGCCATTGATCCTACATCATTCCAAACATATCTGCTTCCTAACTTGCCAAACTTTAGTGTCACAAATGATGTTACCTTCAATGCAATGTCTATCCTAGAGAAACCCTCAATGTTCTGGCCCCATGTGATGTCTGGAGTATAGAGGGCCTCCAAGATGAGAAAGAATTGGGCCATTCTTGGTCTAGATTAACAATATCTTAGTTTCGAAACATACAATAAGTGTATCACTTATAAACAATGACAATTGGATCTACGGGATCATTTGCTTATCATCCAATGCCATTTTACGCAACATATTCCTCCTCCCCCAAGGGTACAGGCAGCCCCCAACTCTACAGGTATTTTGAAATCTAGCCGAAGCAGGGTTGTTCCAGTAGGTGTTTGGTCCTTAGGTCAGTTTAATTAAATAGCACCTATAACACGTTAGATCTTCACTGATTTTTAAAAATTAATTTTTGAGTGCAATTTTCCATACCATCTTTTTCCTTTATTATGTTGTACCCCACCTAGGGGGACGCGGTGGTGCAGCAGCTTAATGACGCTGATAGTTGCCGGCCAGAAATGGTCGACACTTCAGTGGTTCGAGCCCAGCCTTCGCGCAGCAGAGCGAGCTCCTGCTTCCTCCCCAGCTCCTGTCAACCCAGCAGCTTGAAAATTTATGTGAGTAGATAAATGGGGACTCTCACCCTGGTGGGAGGAAAAATGCTGGTGGTGCATTTGCAAAGGAGACGGGAGCAGTTGCCAGTAATGCAGAAGCCGGGCACGCCCGAAAAAGGCGCGAAGCAACGGAAACCCCGCCTCCTGTGCTCGCCAGCTGGACTCTGCTCTAGGAAGGAGGCACTGGCAAGCCACTTCCGAAACACCTTGCCTTGAAAACTGCAGGGACTCGTCCAGGCAGTTGCCGCAGAATTGGTAACGATTGAGTGCAGATTAAAAAAACAACAACAACCCACCTAGAGTCTGTTTGGATAGGAGCAGTCTATGAATGAATGAATGAATGATCTAATTTGCTGATAAAATAGACTGCCAATCACTAGGGATCTGGTTTGGGAGATTAAGGTTTAAGGAATCTTAAACACATAGCTTCTCATTGGACCCCCTTCCAGTAAGTCACATGTCATTCCATCTGGCAGCCTGAACTGTTTCTATTCCAGCTAGCCCTTATAAGAAATGTAAAGTGGTAAATTGCTATTTTTTCTTTGCATTCCATGTTCATTTCTTCTTTTGTGTCATGTGTAAACCAGAGAGCAGGGATTAACTTTTGTTTTTGCTTTTGTTTTTTTTAAAAATTGAACCACAAGCTCTGCAGGGAAATTTCTTTGGCTGAAGAATGAGGCAATTGTGCATGGGTGCATTTGTGTGCAGCTGTGTGGGCCTTTTGGAGCATGAAACTGGCACCGTGTTTCTGACTTAACAAAGCTATGGACTGTTTTCCCCGATGAGAAGTTCCACAAGTCTCTGTTTAACCACTGCGGAAACAGGACACTGAACTACAATGCTTGATCCAGCAGGGCTTTCTTAGGATCTCAGTGCCAGTCTTCTGAGTCCCTATTTTTGAAAGAAAAGGTCAGAGGGAATCAATTTCATACAACCCTAGTGGAAGTAAGCAAGACACCATCAGAGACGCTCTGTTAAGGTATTTTCTCTCCATACTTCCCCAATTTTGTTCCTGGTCTTTCTCATTTGCTTACCTGTTGGTAATGATGGTATCCAGGAGGATAAGTTGAATACACTGGAAAAGCAAAAGTGTCTGAACGGGGGCGTTGCTTATTGCCTGTTTAAAAAAAGGAGGGCAGGGGGAGAAAGAAAAGGAATGAATTGAACCCCCTTGGGAAATTCTCCCAAATCTTTTGGAGAAGTGAAATTTCTCTCTTTTCCCAGATGGGTTTGACTTCAGCATCCATAATCCTCCTCCCTGCCAACATGTCCAGGAATACCGATCAAAGGAATCCAACTCTCCTTGAAAATCTCCTCCTCACTTTACCCTGATCTTAACCCTCACCCCCCACCCTCGACAACAAAGCATTGATTCGGATATGAGGTGGCAAACTGTAACCCAGACGTAAGAGTCTACAAGCCCTGAAAAAGACAGATATTTTATTCACTTCCACTACACCACTCTCATGCTTTTAAACATTTGTCTTTGGAACCCAAGTGTTTTTTTAGTACATATATATGCTCAGAGGCACTTAATTTCAGTAGTGATTTTCTGGCAACTGCCATGGCCATTAAAACCATAGCAGCAGAGAGTCAACCAAAGTCAAGATGCTAACAGCTATCCTTTCCTGCTAGGAGCGGTATCTGTATGTCAGTGTATGTCTGTGTGTACAGTATATATATCCACATACACCCACAAACCCATGTTTGTGTGTATATAGTCATTTGTTCATTCTTCCTGCTATGGAACAAGTTTGGTTATACATAAAATCGGCAAGCAAGGCCAGAGCTGATCATGGTTCCATGATGGTCTCATGGCTCAGGAATAGCATGTCTGATTTCATTCTTAGCCCAGTGAGAAAAGGTGAGTAGATCTCCCCAAACAAGGAAGAAAAAAATACCTCTGAGCATGGTCCTTCGTGGAGTCTGGACTTCTGATAGATGAGGATTTTCCTGCTCTGTTCCTTCAGCTTTCTTGAAGAGCAAAACATCAGGCTAATTAAGAGGCAATCCCATGTTCAAGATGCCTACATTTTCTGCCTATGAAAGCCCCTACAGAAGTCTGTCCACCTTGATGTACTTCCTTTGATAAAAGTGACAGTCTCAGCTTCTTTCCCCAATTTCTAGCCAGCCAGCCTTGCTCTTACAGGCATACTTGGCAAGAAGGCTTGGGGTGAGAGCTGCGGTCTTCGATGATGCTGTCCAGTCACAGCCAGCACCATCCTGGATTAGATCAAACTGGCTTGACACAGTCCAGGCATATGGGGCAAGGTTGGATAATGCCAACCATGATATGTGGTTGGATAAGAACTTCAGCATATGTCAGTTTAATGCTGGGCCCTTTTAAGAGTGGTTCATGGGATACTGGTCACTCACCACTTTCCATAACAATTCTGATCAAGGAGTTCCTGCTGAGTTTGTCACTAGCTTGCTCTCTCTCTCTCTTCTCTTTTATGAATGACTAACCCATCCCGTTCTACCTGGCATGAAAGATTAAATTGATAGTTACAGTGTGTCCTTACTTTCCTGTTATGCAAGCTTTGACTACGGTGAAGGGTCCCCGAAGATTTTCTCCTGAAAGCAACCTCTGGTGGTACAGCTTCTGAAAGGGGAGAGAAAAGCAATGGTTGGGATTACACACCCCACTAACCCTTGATTTGTTTTAGCCATGGTTTCTTGAGTTAGTCACAATGGCTGGCTCCATATATTACCTTAAGGCATAAATCATGGTTTACAAAACACAATCGTTAGAGTCACACAATATGCTAATCTATAAATCATAACATTTGGCTTCTCACAGTACACTTAACTATGGCTTGTTTTAGCCATGGTTCCATGAACTATCATGGAGAAAATCTATGACCTGATGGCACATAATCAATAAAAAAACCCTGTGAACTAGCTACAGCAATTATACTAAGCCATAAACTATGATTTGTAAACCATAATGGTGGAATTCACACAACATGACTTGAATTAACTATGATGGATAGATTTACACATTTCCCTAAGCCAAACAAAGGAAACTCATTATGACTTTGGGTGATGTGTGAATCCAACCTGTGAGAAGACCTTGGATATCTTGCAGGCCTAATCAAAGGATTCTGGTTCCTTGGAGAAAAATTCTTGATTCTGAAATATTAAAGAAAGAGAAGGATGAAATGTGACTGGCTTCATAAACTTTCTTCACAGTCACTGGATCAGCTTCATGGATTTATAGGCTGATAGCTTCCTCTTGTAGTCTGTGTGTGTGTGTGTATGAAGCAATATGCCATGGTTTGCAGTGTTAGTCACAACAATTGGATTCATGTGTTAAGATAAGCAAGACTTTACAAAGCATCAATCCAAGATAAATCAAGCCAACCCCATTCTACTTTACATGCTGCATGAATTTGACCCATTGTACAATTAACTTTGAAGAAGAAATTACACCACTGGAATGACCATGGGTCCTTCCAGATAGGGTTTTCATTGAACAAATGCCATTTGTTCTTCATAGAATTTTATTCTGGGGTCCAGATATCACTACCTTCCATTCATAAGCCGTGCTTTTTCACTACTCCTTCCTATTTCTTTTCTTTACCAAAGAAAAATTGTAGTAAAAAGGGGAGGAGTAGGAGAAGGAGAAATCACTCCAAAGGATCTCTTGACATTAGCCCAAAAAATTCTGGGCCTAGTAGTCCCCTCTTCTTTATTTAGTCATGATCAAGACAAACTTAGTACTGCATTGGAGAAGGCCCTGCTGCTTGAAAAAATGAAGGCAACAGACAAGCCTTCAGACATGGCTCCAATGTCACAGGCCAAATTTCCAAGAGCTCCAGGAAGCAGTTGCTGATGTTGGGTCACCAAGTAGCATAATCAAAAGGGGGCCTAGCCTAAGGCAACCATATTAGGCTGCAAAAATCTAAATCCACTAGATGGCAGCAAAGAGAATGAGAGAATCTCTAGTCCTTTGCTGCCATCTAGAGGTTCTACTAATTTGTGCAGCCCAGATCTGATAGTTTTACTAATAAGGAAACTAACCAACAACTAGGTAGCTAGATGGTATCACTGAGGACACAAGCAGGTGCTTACAAAACCTCAAGCAGTTACTGACAGACCATTCTGGCAAACTGATATCCACTGAGCCACATGAGTCACCAGCAACTGAGCAATCAAATTCAGATGATGTGAAATGAAGAGGCCATTTGGCCAAAGTGGTTGGAAACATTCAGCAGAAGGAACCTTTCGGGAAACATCTTCTTACTGTCAAATTAAATATGAATTAGAATGAATGCTTGGTTTCCAAAGCAGCCTTCTATAATTGGGGCCTTTCATTTGTGTGGGACATGGCTTCTCGTCATTCCAACTCAGGAGGTCCTGTGAATAATTTAAGTTCAAGAGATTGGAAGGGCAAGCATTAAGGAAGGTTGATGTGGAAACTTCTGCATCTGGCTTTCTCTAACCGTCTGAGTCTGGCCTATTGCCAGGTTAGATCCCTTTTGGAGTCAGGACCCACAAAATGTTTTAGCCACAAGATGTGATATTTAATTATGTACTGATGTCTTCAGAGCTTAGGTCAAAATTATTGGTCTACCTTGGGGTATTTGTGGGAAGGGTTTAGAGTAAAAGCCATCATTTGGAGGCCAAATGTTGGCCATGCAATCTAGGTGCTGGGGAGGAAGAAGCTTCAAAAATGGAATGTGGGAATAATATGGGTGGTGGGTTGCTAAGGCTTGTTTAGGTAGTGAAACAGGAAGTGGTGGGACCACAAACAGGGGGAAAACTTAAAGGGGACATCCTGAACCCTTAAGCAGACACAGCTTTAACCACATACACACACAAAAATGCTTTTCAGTCTTCAGATCAATTCTCAGTTAAGTAACTCCATGAAAACAGAAAAAGCTTCATGGGCCCGCTTTTCACATTCCACTTACCATTTTGCATAGATGAAGGTTCTTCTAGGTGTAAAGTCTTAAAATGTTCTTCCAAGCCATAGCGAGAAGGGAATGCTTGGTGGTCCTCAGATCTCACAGGGGCAAGACTGAGTCCCTTGGAGCAGGTAGAGAACGTGGCTTCTTTTCTAGAAGAATTCTCTTTCTGCATCTTTGGGAAGAGAAAAGAAGACTAACTGGCAAGACAGGAAGAGGAGAACACCTGGCTAAAGTGGTCCTGAATGGAGGAGGGAGGTCAGATGCTCAGAGTCCCTCCAGATTCAGGAGGCACAAGTAAGTAAGTTAATCCATTTGCCTGCATTTTCCCTCCCTGCTCATTCTCACTCCATTTAACAAAGGAGAATGTTTAAAAGAGTCAGCTATTTCCATGAAATTGTCATGAACAGATGGTGGTAAGGGATGCACGTGGTGGGGCTGTCCTGCCTTTCACTCTATGATAAGTTTGCTGTCTCCCTGTCTTTCCATACTTCTATCTGATGCCCAGAAAGATCATGAGGAATGCTAATTTCTCTGGGAATTGTTCAGATTGGGAGGTGGGTGGCTAGGGAGGCTCTTCAGAAAGATGGAAAGATGTGGCTTAGGGAAATGGAAACCACAGCAGTAGCCCCCTCTACCACCTCCAACTATTCATTCATTCATTCATTCATTCATTCATTCATTCATTCATTCATTCATACACACACACACACACACACATACATACATACATACATACATACACAAGAAATATTTGCAAGCAAGCAACCAAGCTCAGAGAGCACCAAGGAGTCCACAGTTCAACCCTGAGCTACACATATTCTCTTCTATTGATGTGTGTGTGTGTGTGTGTAAATAGAAAAGAATATACAGAGAGCAAACTCCACTCCATTCTAGCACTGAAGATGTTGCCTAGCCAGGTAATGAAACATTTGCAAGAAAACAACCAAGCTCAGAGAACCCCAAGGATGGACGGACGGACTGACTGACTGACTCTCTCTCTCTCTCTCTCTCTCTGACTGACTGACTGACTGACTGACTCTGGGTGGCTTACAAACAATTAAAACAAAGATAAAAGCAACAAAAAGGTACAATACAACAATTTAAAAAGAAGGAAAAAATATATATAAAAGCAGGTAAAAAAACCATCATAAAATACGTAACACTCCCAGCCCATAATCCTGTTCATCAAAGCAATCAGTTCAGCCTCTGTCCCGGCCCCCTCACGCTCCCGGGCCCTCATGCCTGTTGATAAACCCATGTCTTCAGGGCCTTGTGAAAACTATCAGAGAAACCGTAAAACACCCCCAGAGAACTGTGAAAGCAAACTTTGATCAGCCTGAGAATAAGGCCGAAACGGATGCTTCTTTTGGGGGGGAAGAAAGAAGAGAAATTGCAAAAACAAGGATAAGAGATGGGCCTTACTCTGAAATCCAATGGCCCAGAATTGCCACTGGATTGTAAGAGAATTCAAGACAAATAAGAAATCATGGGGGAGTATTCGTACACTGGTCATTCATTTTAATAAGGTAAATTAAATTTCGATGATACTCTGGCGCTACCCATTTCAAACTCCTGGCTTTATGGGGGGGGGGGGGAATAGTCCCTGTTGTAGCCCTCAAACCCCAGCTGGACCCCCTGGCCCCAAAAAAGGATACCCCCCCCCCCCCCCATAATCCCAGGACAAGAAGTTTTCACTCTAGAGTATCTTATTTATCATTTTCATCAAAATTAAAATGCTTAATAAAGGTGTGGGATATATATGTGGGACTGTCTGAAGGGTACATTTATTGCCTAGGTGTGTGACAAAATTATTGCTTGGGGAGTCAAATTACTGTCCGGGCAATATAATGGTATCAAAAAGAAAAAAGGAAAAATGGCCAAGTTTGCGTGGAGATATTATTGCGTGGCAGAACTGGAGCACTGCTGTCCCCTGGAGGCTTATCCGAAGAATGCATTTTTAAAAATCTTTTACCAAGATATCCTGGACTTCACGAACAGCAGGCTTCATCTTCCATTCGTAACAGAAACACACAACTTCCATTTCCTTGCTGCAGTCTGAGAAATGGGAAGAAGAAGAATGAAAAAAAGGGTTGAGGGGGACATTCCCATCCTCCGACACATCCCTCAAGCTATGTTCGGATTGGAGATGAGGCTCATTAATTCATGGCGTCGAGAATTATACAATATAGTGAAGGAGTCAAACCAGCACCGGAAAGATCCAGATTCAAGTCCACCCTAAGCCACCAACACTTAACAAGGGACTTTGGGCCAGTCACTCTTTCCCAGCCCAATCTGTCTCACAGGGTATAAAGTGAACACACCAATAAATAATAGCTAACTTCTTGAGCAGTTGAGGGCCAGGGTTATCATGATTGTTTCGTTACATTTGCATTTTGCCTTTCCTCCTGGTGTTCAAGGTGGAATACGTGGAGGTTTCTCCACCTGTTGTCCCCACAACAACCCTGCAAGGTAGGCAGGGCTAAAAGAGAGTGACCAGCTGGCCCAAAGTCACTTGGTGGATTTCTCTGGTTGCAGTGGCCTTGACGACTGTTCTCTTCAATCCTAGTTCAACTCTTCAACCATTACACTATCCTAGTCCTGCATCTGGAAGGCCCCAGTTGGGAGGATAACAGTTTCTAGAAAGGGTGCCCCTTATTACCAGATCCCTGGTAGTCCCAAACCTGTCCTTTTTCCCCTAACAGCCTCTTCCAACTACAAGGTCCCCAAACCAACAACCCAATATATTGTCACTTTGGTGCACAGAAAAATGTAGCATGAGCCTAGATAAGCTTCACCTGGAGAGGGGACCCCCATGTTTCCCCACTAAGACCAGGAAAAATACAAATACTACCCCACGTCTGTGGGTCCCAGCCTTGCCCACTTTGCATCTTGATGTCCCCTACCGTGGCCCTTCCTTTTCTAAAGACAGTGAAGCGTGGACCCTCAGCTACCCCAGTGCAGCCCACCTTAGCGGTGAACCCAAGCCCAGGTCCACCAAAGGAAAGATGGCAGGCGCAGCTCTGCTGTTGAAGCCCTGCCCCTTCTAAATAAGGGGCGGGGCTTGGATTGTGTGGGCGTGGCAGCCACCATGCATCCCACTTACCTCGGAAACTTGGCCTCTGCCCTTTCTCATTAGACCAGCACCTTCTCATGAGGTCTATCAAGTTTCCCAGCTTCTGCACTTGGTCGACCTGCTTCTCCAGATCTTCCGTCAGCGGCCTCTGGCCTCGCGGGATGTGCATCCTGATGAGGGAACTCATGTTGGCGTGGTGGAGATCTGGGCAGGAATGGAAGCAGGCAGTCAATGGCATTTTTGGATTGGAGCACCATGCCGGCCCTGGTGAACAGGCACCCGTACTGACTCATTAAGCAACATTATGCAAAGTGCAGGAACAAATCAGAAACAGTGGACAAAAGAAATGGAGGAGAGGAGATGAAAGGAAAAGAAATATTTCTTGTACAGCATCACTCTCCCCTCTATCGATTTTCTCCATATCTTTCTATCTGTGCAAACTGGGGGGGGGGGTCCTCAGGGAAGGTCAAAAAAGTCAAGATGGTGGCCACAACCCTTCAGCACTACTCAATTTAAACAGTACATGACGCGTGACCAACATAAACCAATCTAATCATCGTTCCTTCCTTTACACCACAGGATTGTAGTTTGGTAAGGAAAACCAGGACATCCAACAACATTCCCAACAAATTATCATTCCGAATATTCTTTGTAGGATGCCGTGGGAGTTTAAGTGAAATTAAGCAAAGTAAGTTTAGAGATCAGGAATATGCTTTGTTGTGCTTCCCTGGTATTTTAGACAAGAATTGCCAGGGGGAGAGGCTAAAGGAAAAACCATTTTTAATTTGAACTTAATTAAATAAAGACAGTATGATTACTCCCCACCTCCAATAGCTTTCCCCTTCTGTCACAGTAAGTGTTAAAATACGCTGGCAATTTTTAGAAGAGCTTTAGGGGCCAAGGCTGAGGTGTTATATTTTTGTGAATATCAATCCTAAGTAATCCTGTTTGGTCTTTGGCCGGGCCACAATCTCTGCCTTTTTCCCTGCCACTGTCAGAAAAATTGAGTAACATGAGCGCTACTTTTAATCATGCACAGGAGACTGGGAAACCTTGAACAAGCAGAAAGCAAAGCAAAGCATATCTTACTGTGGTAAGGTTCTTGACCGCTTAACACCGACCACATCAGGATGCCATAACTGAAAAGTAAGAGGAAGTCGATTAGATTTCCTGGTGGTCTCCCATTCCAAGTATCAATGAGGTTTGATCCCGCTGAGCTCTTTCAAGTCATCTAGGTGTTCCCTTCTCTATTACTTGAACTTCCAGGATCGGCCAAAAGGTTGGAAGGAAATAGAATAATGGGCTGACCGTAAAATGAAAAACCTGCACGCTCATGTAAAGCCACTTTCAGGCAAATAAAACAGAGCCCCTTGAATGGATCTCAGGTCCCCGGCTGGATCTTCTGCTTTCAAATGGGAAATGGGTCCAAACCACCCTTAGCTCTAAGCTTTGCGCACAGACGGAGCGCCCCTTAATGGGCCCTAGAGGCAATCCAGCTGCTTTCACCTGTAGACATCCGTGCTGGGAGCTGGCTTGTAGCTGAAACTGTTAAAGGCTTCGGGGGGCATGAACTCCAGGGTCCCGCCATAGTCACCCCCTTCCCCAGAACTGTGGTCACATTGCTGAGTTGTTCCTCGCTTGAACTTGGATAAACCAAAATCAGACACCTGAGCCAGAAGTGGGGATAGAACATAAGCACGCGTTAGAGACCCAGTGAAATAAATCACCATCACATCTGAGCCAGCCCTGTTCTTACAGAGATTACACCAAGCAGCGTCTTCTCTGTACACTCTTCTATTTTCCCCCAGCCTTCTGCTGATTTAAAAGCGAGGGGGTTTCAATCAACGTGCTACTAGCAAGCCACTGAATGAAAATACCCATATATATTTACTAGATTTATATTCCTCCTTTCCTCCAAAAGTTCACGGCAGCATACATGTCACTTTTGCCTCCACGTTCTTTGCAAATGACACCCCTACTAGGTAGGCTGAGCTGAGAGAAAGAAAGTGACCCAATGGAGCATCCATAGCTGGGGGTAGCCTTGAACCAGAGAATCAAGGGGGTGGGGAGTAAAAATGGCAAAAGCAACAGTGTGCCATCATGACGCAAGCTCTGACCATCTGTCCATGCGCTGGGATGTCACACACATGTACAAAAGAAGTGGTGCTCGTGCCACAATGGCATGATGCTGCTCTTGTCATTTCAGTGAAAGCATCCCATCCTGCAGACCTCTCTGCCGGATGGCCATCTCTTGGGGATGTCGTAGTAGTAGTTTCTTGAACTGGGTGGTAGGTTGGACCAGAAGGTTTCCAAATATTCCTCGAATCCTGGCATTGTACAATTCAGGGGGGGGGGGGGAAACAGCTTTAGAATAACAAACAGAAGTGAGAGAACTCACCCGGACATGCAGATCCCCATCGAGTAAGACATTGCTAGGCTTGAGGTCCAGATGTAACAACGGAGGCCTGAGGTTGTGCAGGAAATTCATCCCCAGGGCTACCTGGTAGAGGATGCGGAAGCGTAGGGCCCAAGGCATGGAGGGGACCTGATACATTAAACTGGACAAGTTGCCGTTCTCCATGTATTCCATCACCAGGCCCAAGCTGGGCACTGCGGCTGGCGCCGCGTCGGTGTCTGCCTGCTCTTTGCCTACGAAGAGGCCAAAGAGTCGTAGGACGTAGATGAAGCGGGCTTTCTCCATGGCTTGGGCTTCTTTCAAGAGTTCCTCTCGAGTGAAGGAAGAATTCCTGCAGGAAAGTAGGAAAGCCTGATTTCAATCCTGTGGGAGGATTACTGTGGGTGGAATAAAAAGAGGGTGATGTAAAGGAACGTGAGGCTGACCTTGGGGAAGGGAGGAGGGGGTCATTAAGGGGACCTTGCAGAAAAGACGTCAAGATTGAAGTCCCCCCCCCCCAGGGAAGGCCAGGTCAAGAAACAGGTACAGCAGAGAATGCCAGAAATGCTATTTATTGTAGTTCAATAGAATAACAGAATCGGGAAAACCTCTCCAAGTTTCTCTCTGTCCCATTTTAATACTAAACAGAATCAAGATGGGGTTATTTCGAGCTTCTTTCTCACACTTCCTTCATTCCCAGGACTGTGCCATCTTTTCTGTAAGTCCTCCCTTAAAAGTTTGCTCCTTCCTTGCCCCCTTAATGGCTTGCTCATCCCTTCTGGCTCCATTCGTTTACCTGCCGTGGGGTTCATAAAGAAGTCATAATCGGCAAGCAGAATTGGCATGTGAAAGGGACTCTTGAGCTACATATGAAGAAGTAACTTCCCCCTTTGTCACAAGTATAAACAATTTTAGTAACGTATCATCTTCTCCTAAAATACAAATGATCTCTTCCCATATTTCATCTCTTATCTATAAACAATATATAGTATATATTTCTTTTTTCTTATTCTTTCTTTTCCAGTTTTCTTTCTATTCTTTCTTTTTCCCTTTCTGCACTTTCTATTTTTTCTTTTCATTCTTTCATTTTTCTTAGTTTCTGTTAGCTTTTATCTTTTTAATTGTAAAGTTTAATAAAATTATTGCAAAAAAAAAAAAAGGAAAGAGACTCATGAGTCTGAAATTTCTCCAAGGATGATCCCAAATGGAGATGATCAACCTTCTATCGCCAGATTTGGGATGCTTCAGTCTCCCTAAACTTGATTCCAAATGGGGAACTTACTTTTGATCATTATAAAGAAGAGGAGTCATCAAATAATAAACTTGGGATTCTGATTGCTGATCCTAACATTGATAGGATCCATTACTGGGACAACTGTCCTCCTTGGCTGCCTTTTGGAGGAGGCCTCCAAGTCATGGGTTACACTACTGTTATCAAATTACTTTCAAGTCCTATATTTAATTATTTTCCCCTCTGTCCCATTCAAACTTACAACATGGGAACAACTTTTGAAGCTCTCCAGGATCATACCCAAGATTTTTGAGGTCCACCTATGATTGTGGGAGTCACAGATTGTACATTTTTGTCAGACAAACTCCAACTTTCACTCTCGGCACTCAACCAACTTCCAAATAACCACTGTTACCGGCTCAGGAACTTGATTGCAACATCGATCCCCCAATCTTGGTGCCGAGCTCGGAAAATGTTCCCAAAAGATCCTCGGCCAATGAAGGAGAAGTTCATCAGGTCCTCCTCGCTGATCTGCTCATAGAACCTGTTGGGATCAGCCATCCTTCCCAAACCTTCATCAGCCAGCAATGGTCCTGCCTCAGTAGTGTTGCATGTTAATAGCTGTTTTCAAGAAATAGGAAGGTAAAAAAGCAACTTGTTTAGAGCCAGGTGGGACCATGCTTGGCCTTGGAGTGCTGTGCTGGGGACCACACTCAAACAAGTCACTGGCCCAGGAGAAAAATGTGGTCAGGGCCAGGGTGAACATGACCTCAGATTTAATTGAATGTTTCTTTATATTCAGTTAAAATCAAAAGAATGAGTAGCTGTGATTTCTCCCCACACATTTCTCCTCCTTCTGCAACATTACACATTTCATTTTGGAAGGGATCTGGGGATCACACCTGAGGCTATTGAGCCCCCCACCAAGCCCAGATGCCTCCAGCTGAACACCTTTGACGTAGGACCAAAACTCAAGAGAGCAAGTGGGACACGACAGCTGTGGCCAGTTCCCAGCCTGATGTCCTCCAAAAGTGCTGGGATTGGAACTTCCAGAATTCCTAGTCACTATGCTGGCTGGGGGATTCTGGGAGTTGTAGTTCCAGTACATCTAGAAGATGACAGATTGGGGAAGGCTGCTCTACAGCTAAGGAACACAAGGCTGGTGCATACAACTTTTATTGTCTGGGAGGGAACTAGAAATGGCAAATGTAATGGACTGTGAGAATAACCTCGAGGAAGAAGAGGAAGAGCCTGACCAAACCAATGGTCAGGTAACTGAGATCTGAGCCCAAACAGGAACGGAATTTGAGAAAGCATTTCAGACTTGACCCTCCCTAGTTCTCTTTAGGATAATGGCAGGAACGGGGGAGGCACATTCAGAGCTGTAAGACTGATGTCAGCCCTTTGAGGTAGACCAGACCTGAACACCAAAGCCATGAATACTAAAATGACGTTTACTGTAGGGTTGCAGTAACAGAATCTTGTCAATCTTGCCACTGAGTAATGGACCCTCCATTGTCCAAAGCATTATTCCTACCTCTCCTAAGCTAACGTCCTCCGAATTGGGCCTGCTGGCTGGGGGTGATAGGAGAAGCTCAGAAATTTTGAGAGGTACCAGTTAAAGGAAACCCCATTTCCCTCATAGCATCAGCATCTGGAATTTCTGGGAGGCCGTTGGAACTGGGGGCTACAGTCCAGTTGCTCCCCAATAGCAGTGCTATTCCCAGGGCACGCTGGGCAGGTTAAAATGGCAACTCCAGAGTGCCCGGCACAGATCATGGTTCTGGTCTTGGTACTGGAAACATGAAAGTCAGGGGCAGTTCTACCACTAGGTAAAGAAGCAGCTACTGAAGGAAGATGATTTCTGGTGTCCTAAAACAGAATGTCATTATTTTACTTTTCTCACAAAATGTTGAGAAAGATGATTTGGTTCCCCATCTGTCCACAAAATGTTGCCTATTCTTGCCCTGGAATTTGGAGTTAGTCCTGTTCCTAATCTTGTTTGCCTAGTGATGGAGACGTAATGTAATTTGCTTATGGCTTAGCATATTGTTCATGCTAAATGACTGCGGGTTATTTCAGGGTAAATAAATCAGGGGTCAACAACCTGGTGGTCAGGGCATTCCTAAATTAACAATTTAAGACAGAATAAAAATCTTGTTAAGATTTTAGGGTTGCCTCATGAGAGTTCAAAACGCACACACACACAATCATTTGGTGCATCCATTCTATCACACAAAATTGCACAATAGTTGCTTCTACCTGAAAAAGGTTGCTGAACTTTTCAATAAGCTGTAGTTAAACAAATTGTGTGTTAGCTGAAGAATAATGAGCCAGGAGATTGTATTCTCTGATCTGGCCCTTTCGGAGTTCTCTGGTTAGCCCGAAACATGAGAAGCATAATACTGAAATGGGTAGGTTCTTAACGTTATATATACTCAACTCTGTAAAGAAGCCAACACCCTTTGTCTCTCGTATGTAAATATTACTGCGATTAATATAGGCAACCAAAGTGAGAGATCAATGTCTTCTGAATTAAGGAGCTCATCTTATTAAAGATCTTGAGAACTGATCAGGGAGACACCTAAGCAGGGCAAAGTTGATAGATAAAAGCTGGATTTGCAGGCAGGCAAGATTTTGGAAAAATCGCCTTTGGGATGAGAGATATTAGCATGTTAGCCCTTGCCTCCTCAGCCCCTCCTGCTGGCCGTTTCAGCGGTCAAGACAAGTAGCTTCTCTCCAGCAGGACCTCCTTCCTAGACTTCTTGGATCAAAGGCATGGAACGTTCGCTGCATGCCTTTTAGACTCCATGCATGGTATAAAAGACACCCTTTACTCACCCTCCTCTACTTCCTACTGGCCCAGTGGGGCAGATGAAAGGGCAGGAAAGAAAGGGCAGGAGTCTCCCTGCCTTCCTCCCACTTTGGGAAACTGAAGACTGACCTGAACTCTGTGGCATTGAATGTAACCACTAGACTAGCTAAGGTGGTTCCTAAAGTCACCCATTTTGACACTCTTCAACATCATGGACAGGATAGACCTTTGGCTGCAGTGAATACCACAGCAGATCTGTGATGAGAGGCACAATGCGTGAAGCGGAGGTTCACTTCCCTTCCCTTCCCCTTTTGGGCTACCCACCCAGAACAATCTCTAAGCTTGTGTACCTTTCTCTGTCCTTGTCGACTTCTTTCTGGCTGGAGAGCAATAACTTCAGGCCTTGTCCGACATCTCTGGCTTAATTCTGCTTCTCTTCCTGTCAAAAAGGCCTCCTTCTCAAGGCTGCTGTGACTTTCCTCCTCCCCCCTCCCTCTGCACACACTTTCTCTTTCACAACCTCTTTGTGTGTTCTGAGTTTCTTCTTTTCCCAGACCTCCACAGAACCATAGAGTGCATCCCTTTCAAAGGTCCTGAATATAACTCATTTGGCCTATGATGATGACAGTACGGCAGATGACTTCACCTTGGAATGATGAATGAGATTGGGGGCTTCCTAACTTGGGAGAGCAAGAGTTTCTACGCAGGGTGTACACTATGGCTTAGAGGCAGAGCACAAACTCTGTAAGAAGGCTGCAGAGCCATGCCCAGACATCTCTAGTTAGAAGCACATGAGGACTACTGATAGTCATAGTGATTGGGAATGTGCTGTAGACCAACCATTTTGGAAGACACTCAGCTGGGGATGGTTGGAACTGGAAGGCTGGAATACAGGTTTGGAGCTGTATTGGACCAAAACAGTTCCCAGGCTGCTAGAGAATAGAGGAGTAGAAGATGACTTAATTTAAAGCCAGTGTCCAGTCTTGGAACATGGAAGGAATATGCATGTCAGCTGCACATGCTGACACTTGCAGTCCTTTTTTCTCACCTAGAAAAACAACACTACTGGTTTTTTGAACCCAGGGAAGATGCAAGAATCTATCAAGGATCAGCCTATCTTCCTATTAATGAAGGCTTCCCTAAGGTATAGTTTGGGTCTGATTGACACATCTGACTTCATGCCTGCTCACATGCAAAGAGGAAAGGCGTCCATTAGCATATAAATTTCCCAAATAAATTATCAAGGAGTTTAAAAGCTTTCTTCCAAATATGTTTTTGATAAACCTCACTTCTCTGTATTTCTTAGATGAAGAGGGGGATTAACCTATAAACAAAGACAGTCTTTCTTTCTTTTCTTTTCTTTTCTTTCTTTTTCTTTCTTTTTCTTTCTTTCTTTCTTTCTTTCTTTCTCTCTCTCTCTCTCTTTCTTTTCTTTTCTCTTTTTCTTCTCTCTCTCTCTCTCTCTCTCTCTTTCTTTCTTTTTCTTTCTTTCCTTTCCTTTCCTTTCCTTTCTCTTTCTTCTCTCTTTCTAAAAAATAACACTAAGAGAAGCAAAGTGGATTTTATAAGGATTTGAATTCCATTCTCATTATATAAGCTAACCATCATATTCCACAGTTCCCTTCCTTTCCCCGGCTGCATCTATTATGTGACCGAAAACCAAGTTGCATGAAGAATAAACATACCACGAACTGAGAAATAAATTCTATACCTGTTAGGGTCAACTGACAGCAAACACATTCATTCCAGGGATGAATGCTAAAACAGAATGCATCTTGCTTTATAATAATTGACATAGTGCTGACCTCCTAGAAGTTAGAACATTGCTGCACATTCTGTGACGCAGCAGCAGATCAACCCAAAGCACTGGTGATGGGGTATTGCTGGAAAAATGGGAAAATGCCCGTTTTCATTTGAAAAGGGAAGAACTCTGAAGAGAGACAAAATGTTATATGAAGGAAGTGTCATATGAAGAAGACAGGGTGGGGACCCCTTGGGACATTGCAACTTGGGGAATCCGTGTTTTATTTTTTTTTAATAAATAACAAAAACTGATCAGGCTTGCACAGGGAATCACTGTCAAAGCTCAGAGAGTTTTGTGCTCATTTTGCCATTGCAGCAAAACTTTGCAAAGTTTGACAAACCTTTGAATATATGGGTATACTGATTTCTTGCCCAACCTTAACCCCAATGAAATCATTTATGTTATTCGCTGGGGTGGGTGGATCTCACAAATTCCTTTTCCGTTCTCCACAAAGTTTGAGAAGCCTGATAGAAGCGGTTCCCAAGCTCTCAAACTGTGGCTAGCTTCTACCCCCACCCACAACCTCACAACTCTGAAACTGCAGAAGACGAATATCCAGTTAGAGATGAGATAAAGATTCAGCAAAGAGTGTGCAAGTAAAGGGAGCAGAGTAGATTGGGGCTTGCCAGAGAAATCAACCCAAAATGGGTTTCTTGCTCGTCCATCCAGGTCCACCTTCATGACACCTCTTTCCCCCATCCACACGTATCCAACTGTCAGCCTTACATTCCCCATCCTCCTTGCAGTCAGATGAGAAAAAATGTTTCATCTCCCCCCACCCCCCAAAATGTTTGCTTTACGTTATTTCACAAATCTATCACCACCTCCCTGTTCTAAGGATGGTGTTTTGATCTGGACATAAGGCTGACTAACTCAGAAATAACTTCCACATTTTCTCCCTGCTTCTTCAGGGCTTGCTACAACTTCCCTTTCTTTGAGATATCTCCCGACCAGAAAGAATAGAGAGGCAGTTGCACAAGAAGTGCTATTTCTTTTGTAATTTTTTTTAAAAAAATGCATTTAATTACAAAACCACCCTAGCGCTCCTCCAAATACAGATTGAAAAAATACATAAAAGCACCAAAGCCTTCCATCAAGAAAAATATTAGAGTGTTCTCACACATAGCGTTTCCCCACATAAGCATCCAAGGAACCATAATTTTGGGGAGAAGACAGCCAATATATCTCTTGTATTGTTAAAGTGTTCTCCATTTTAATTGGATGAAGAATTAGGAGCTCAAACCACTAGGAATCTACTCCACGTAAGTCCAAACTTTCTCTTTTGACCTAAATTCTGGAGCATTCATGATATCAGTGACAGCAGCTTCAGCCTTTGACTTATTTTGCTTCATTAAATTATATTAAATTTTTGTTCCAAGTAAAGGCAGACAAAGGGAGGGGTTGGGTGAGATACGTGCCCTCTTCTTCCAATTTTTAATTTTAATCCAGCCACGTCTACTGAGATTAGATTTTGATTTCTTGAAAGCCAAGGCTGAGATGACCATGGTGAGATCATATGTAACGTAAAAGGAGAGCTGAAATGATACTTGTGCATTATCATTAATTTTATGCTTCCTCCTCCGCTCCAGAAAGGCGGGCCACTCTTGTTCCTTTTTTGTATGCCAATCGGTTACATCTGTTTATTTTGGCTGTCTGCCTATTTTGGTCCTGCAAAATGGGTTGGGGTTAGGGTTATCAACTGATGGTTGACAGTTACCTCTGTGAATGTAGGTACCCACGCCATAATCACAAAAAAGATATCGCACCAATTGATTATGGCCGTGGCGGGCACAAACATTTTGGGCATCAGATTTTAACACTAATGCAGGCAAAAAAGGAACAAGTACCACACAGGCACATGACTGAGCTGAACACAAGGGGACTTATAGCCAAAATGTTGCATTTTCTCACTATCGGAATCTTGCAATGGCTAGAGATTCTCAAAAAACCCCCTTTCCTCCTTTGTATTTGTTCCTATGAAATGAGTGAGTTCATGAAGGCTAGCATTTTTTTAACATACCAAAATTCATGAATTTTCCTGCCGTATAGAAATATAGATACTCTGGGTTCATCACTTGGAAGTACTTGTGCAATTTTTACAACATTCAACCATTTTTTGGCCAAATTTTGACATTTCACACCATGAAGCCCTCCCAAAAGGGGAAATGTGGGGGTGCTTTTAGTATGAATAGTAGGAGTTTGCCACAATGACCTTTACCTTTCCCCTTCAAAAACAAGCCCAAAAAATCAGCCATGAACATCCACAGGGAAGAAGAATGGCAAATGACATCACACATGCAATGTCATCAGGGCTTCTCATGGATCTTTTGGGCCACATCCCTTTCGGTGACATCACCAAACACAGCTGGGAGAACCCTCCTATGATATACGCATGATTAATGCTTCCTAGCTGCTTTGACAAATAGGAGTAATTCAGCTTTTGGACTGTTACCAAGTACTTTTTAAAACTTTTCTTTATTTAATCCCTGGCCTTATTTCCTAAAAATCTGCTTAGGAGCAGAACAGAGTTTGGAGAACATGCAGAAATGGGATGAAAGGGATCTATACTTATCCATCCACTATGATTTGTTTCTCTGCGTCAACCAAATGTGGTTTCCAGAGCATATACAAAGATCAAGGATTTTAGCCTCAGAGACACTTATCTTCTTTACTGATCATTGTGGAATCCTCCAATGAGAATGCACAAAGGCCTATGAGGGTTCATGATCACCAAACACTGTTTGAACACCATGGTTTGAGACAGATCTCCTATATCATCTTCCATCTATATTGGGGTGGAGTGGGGCAGAGAATAAGTCTGAAGCTTTCTCTGTTACAGAAAGGATGAGAGGTAGTTTAGATAAAAGGCAAAGTGGATAGCATGGCAATCCTCTTGCTGGTTTTAAGGAAACAAACAGGATGAACATGATAGAGAAGTCTGAACAGATGCATAGGATAGACATAATATCGTGGGAAAGTGAGGTTCTTACTTAGATACCCATATTGGGTAGATTAGTCCATGGAATCCATTATCATAGGACATAGGACTGCCCAAAATGTAAATGTGGAGTAGATAAATAGAGAAAGGACTAAGCCTTTCAGGGGCCATGATAACTCAATAGGTAGTCTCACTCTTTGCCCAAACTCTTTATCTGAGTATCAGATAAATGAATGGACCGATAGAGAACAGCTACTGAGTAGAAGAAAGATGGTGAAGCAACTGATATCCAATCTCCCAACTCAGTAAATGATGGATGCTAAGATTGCCATTTAGCAACTTCTGCAGGACCACAGGCGCCCCACACTTGGAGTGACGATGGTGGGAGATCCTTGAAGCCCCTTCATCCCAAACAGGAGGAGGACAGAAGATTTAATGAGGAATCTGTCTTGAGTTTTACAAGGCCCTTAATGGAAGGATGAAAGAAAGCACAGGCAGAAGATAAGAAAGGAGAAGGAGGAAACTCAGATTCAAATGCATCGATATGAAAGTCCTCAGAAGCTGGCCCAGCTGTTGCTTGCATGATCTTGGCCATCTTCATTTTCTCTGGGTCGACCTCCAGCCTTCTTGAAGCTTTATGCACCCCAGGAATCTGGCAGCTTCTCAGGTCTGTCCTCCTTCGCAGGATGGCTCCGGAAAGTCACTTAAGTCCCTGCCAATGATCTCGGTAACTGGGGAGAGTATTCAGAAACAGAAAGGGAGAGAGAGGCAATTTGAAGGAAAGCTTAGCATACAGCAGCTTGTGAACTTACTAGGTGGCCTTAACCAAGCCACTGAAATTTCTGAGACTTAGCCTGCAACACTTGTCATTGTGGGAAATTAATATGAGCAACAGTGCTGGAATTATATTTCCCAGGATCTGTTTTGAGCAAGGATAGCATGTAACAGTGCTGCCAGACCCTTGTGAGTGGGGAAAGCCCTTTTAATTCCCAGCTGCTGGTTGGCTGCTATGCTGCTGGCTTAAGTCAATCATCTCATAAGCAAAAGAGGAAAAGTCAAGAAAACTGGGCAGAAACAGTGGGTAGCAATTTGAGTTTCATGCTTGTGAGACCAGGAGGGATTTGAAGGGGGAGACCACAAGGAAGTTGTCAAGCACCCATTTTGCAGGCCCAGAGTCTCAGATTTAGCTTCTAGCATCTCCAGGTACATTCACTGAAAAATTGGGACAATAATCTGGATTAATAGCGGGGATGAAACATCCTCAAATTCATGTGATCAATTGAATTTGGTTTAGTGTGACCTGTGAACTCAACCGCCAAGGCTTGAACATCATGATTTACAGCTTAACACTGTGTAAGTCAGTAGCTAGCCAGCTTTGGCTGATCCTGAAAATGCTGAACAGGTTTGGACTGGGTCTGTACTTGGATGGGAGACCACAGGGAAATCCCAGCTGATCTAAAACTCTGCCAGATTTCTTTGGAACTGTCCACTGTGGCCAAGGGTAGGGCTGAGCTGGGAGTTTAACTCAGCTCCCAATACTTTGAAGATAAGCTCAAAGCTAGTCCAGTGCATATATTTGGGTTAAAGTTTATTTTTAAATCCAGACTGATTGGGCTTGTCTCTTGACAGCAAGTGAATAAGAGTGCTGGCTTAACCATTCACTTCTTTGAACAGGAGGTGGAAAGACTATAAACAACATTTATTCTCTGCCAGCTGCCTTCCATGGTCTGTCATCTTCTGGCATCGGATCTCACTGTGCCAGCCTCCTTCAGCTGCCTCTCCTAATTTATTGAGTATTGCCAGCAAGACACAACTCTAACACAACTGAGTCCTGCTGATGGTGAGGGCTACTTTTCCAGGTAGGCCAAGCTTTCCAGCTAGCTATGCCAACCTTTCAGCCAGCCTACCATAGGGCTACCAGATCTGGGCTGCACAGTTCCAGATGACCACTAGATGGAGCCAGGAGAATTGTCTGTGTCTCATTCCTGCCATCTTGGGGTCATCTGGATTTCCGCAGCCCTGATCTGAAAGCCTCAGGCAAGCATTCATATAGGAATGAGTTTCCTCTGTCATTATGACCTGATTTTGTTTGGGCTGGGTCTCCCATATTTTGCAGGTATTTTGACTGCTATTGTCTCACAAGAAAAGAGAAGAGGAAAATCCCATTATTCTTCTTAAACTGAAACCAAATCTTGTTGAAAGCTTCACAACTCTAGCTTTACCTTCTTCCAGTGTGATCCCATGGATAGGCAAGTTTTCCCGGAAGCCACTGCTGAACCCCGATTTCTCCAGTTCCTTGGTGCTAAACTCCTGGGATCCAAGTTCTGGATCTGTCCATTCTGGTGATCTCTCCCCACTGTGGGTTTCTCCCCGTCCTGGTGGGTGAGGACTGCGTTGTGGACTAGGAGGCTGGAAGTGTGGAGGGCGGCAATCTAGAGTATGAAGGTGGGGCAGGTTTGGAGGGGCAAGACGGGGCACAGAGAGGTTAATGCCCCTGTAGGTCTCGCTGGGGGGGAAACGGAAGGCTGGGCTGTAATGGGGCGGGGTTGAGAACGAGCAAGGACTCCAGTCAGGACCATATGGGGAACAAGGTGGGGAGCGCTCAGGACTGTAAGGGAAGGGTGGTCTGGAAGGGGAGAAATCCATGGCCCCTTGTGCTGATGGTAGTGGGAAAGGAGCATTTGGAGTGATGTGTGGGATCGTATGGGGTGTGGAATCTGGAAGTGGTTCTTCCTTGAAGATCACTGGAGGAGAAGGGAAAAAGGTTGGCAGGGATTATCAGGTAATACTTGAGCATCCAACTATTCTCATTTCCCGTCTTTAGTTCTACCTACCAGGTAAATATTTGAAGCCTTGAGCTGGACTCCTTTTCCGGCGCCCATTGGAAATATAGAAGTATGTCTGAACAGGCCGTGAAACTCTCTTGTTGCTGTATTCGGGAACGGTGAGGGTCAGCAAAGCCTGTGGAAGTAAAGGAAAGTAATGACAGGGAAAGTAAGTCTAGTGCAGAAGGTTAATCCCACAATCTGGGTATTTCTTTAGATATGTGGACTTTAATTCCCCAGAATTCTCAGCAATGGACATGCTGAAGTGGCTCCGAAATTCTAGGAGCTGAAATCCACATATTTCAGAACACCCAAGTTAAAGAACCCAGAAACAGAATTTCCTGCTTCAATCTCTGTACATCATTTGCTGCTGTGCTGAACAATCCTACCCCATGGTAAAGAAAATTCCTCCTTCTGCATGTTATCCTCATAGATGACAGTGTATAATTCTCATTCTCACCTCTGTGCTTTTCAAGCGATTAACATTTGCCTCCTCTTCCCACTGGAGTTTTCCATCTGAAACCAAAAAGGAACTAGTTCACTGTAGGCCAAACAATCAGGCACCTATATTGGGATAACAGATGGAGGCAGAGTTTCCTGGATCAGGCCAAAGAGTCACCTAATCCAGCCAACCCCCTTTGGGAAGATTACAAGCAGGACATGTTAAAAATAGTCACATAGTTTGTGCCCGGTGTCAGCTGATTGATGGTCCACTAACCCTGTCAATGGAGGCTGTAGTCTTACCTGCCGGAGATCACAACAACTGCCATGTTTACTCCAGAGAAAGATGCCCCTGTATTTAAGACAACTCTCTCCAAGAAGGAAGAGTAGACAGAAAATCTCATGCCACACCAGTTTCCTGACCTTGTTGGCCAAAGGCTGTTGACTCCAGCCGACACTAGAGTTTTCCCCATATATATGTACACGTCAAACGTGTGTGCAAAAATCAGCAAATGTGATTACCTCAATTCGCAGGCAATGATCTGGGGAGGGGCAGTCATCCTCCAATTGGGCAAATGTGGTTTCATCATTATTTATTTGATTTGAATGCCACCCTTTTGCCCAGATGGAAATACCACGCAGCAAGGGAATCAAAAAAGAAAGGAAGCACCAAGTTAACCAGACCCCACTTACCAGGGCCTCGTTCAATGAAAACAACCTTCGATTCGGGCAGAAAGTTGGCTCCGCTGACTACCATCTCCTCACCTCCATGCACCGAGCAGGCGCTAAGACTGTAATGTTCTACTTGCGGAAGTTCTTGAGCTGAGCGCTGGGCTGTGAACAAGAGACCAGAGAGACAAATGGAGCAGAGGCCAAAAGCCTTAGCTCCTTTTGTAACAGAGAGTTGGGGAGTGATTACAGGCCAATTCATTCACTGCACACTGTACATGAGAATGGCTCCCTAAAACATTTCCTCAGTGCTACCTTTCTCTTCTCCATGCTTTCAAAAGCCAGCCATGGCCCCAAGGTCTTTAGCCCATAGTTCAGCCTCCTTCTCAGGCAACAGGTGTCATGCGCTGTGACATGACCGGGCACAGTAAAGCAGGTTTAAAAAAATAAAAATAAAAAGTAACAAACCCCACTCAAATCTCTCCTAAGTCTTGTGAGATTTCCCAGTGCAATCTTGGAAGAGTTCTGGTAAACTCACAAGATTTCGCCTATTAAAAAAATGAAATAAAATCGGTATATGTGTAAGTGAGTATGGGTGTGTACTTGTATCTGTGCATGTGTATGTTTGTACGTTTCAAGTTGCCCAGAAATTGCTGGAGCAATTGAATTTGTAAGCCTACCTTCACTGTAATGCTGGGTTAGACCAGTATTATTTAAAAGAGTAGATGTTAGAACCAAGAGCTTCAGAGGACACTTATGAAAGCAAACATATACCAGGTGTTGGAGGTGCTGTTTTCCTCCAACAAGACCAACCCTACCGTTAGGGAGACAAAAGGTGCCACTCGGGAGGCAGAACGAAAAAATCATAATAAAATAAATCTTTTGGTTTAAGGTAAATACTTTAAATTGCTTGCCGCTTTTCCTCGTGCCCTCCAATCTGGAGTTTACTTTGATGTTTTAGCTCAGCACTGGGTACAGGAGAGACGCCCCCAGGCCACCTTTCAACAGGGACAGCCTCCTCAGTGGCTGGCAGCAACCACCATGGATGGATTGGTGAGTCTGGTGATGATGGGTGAGCATGGCAAGATCCCCTCTCCAGCTCCGCATACCCACCACCCACAACGTGGAGTCAACAGCCTCAACCCTGGTTTTGCACAGTCTTGAGGACAGACCCCAGCAGTCAGCTTTACCCTGAGGCAGCAACACTCACAACATTCAATAGGCACAGAAGCTGTCTGGATGGAGACCACTTTGCCATTTCCTTGTGGGACATGGACCCGAAAAACCAGCCGCACCCGTGTGTTTTTGCGCCCAATGTCCGTCTCACCCTTGCGCAGCTCGATGTCTGAATTACGCAGTTTTAGGATCCCTGCACAGTCGATGCTGGGGGGTTGGGGGGAGGAACAGGTCCAGAAGAGACCAAAGAAAAAGTGAAATTAAAATTCTTCTGCTGGATCAATGGAACCAAGATAGATCTATCTTCATTTTTAAGGGGATGCACTGCTTTTCTTTACTCTCTGGTTTCAAGTCCACAACATGTTTCCACAAACACAAATCTTCCATGCTTCAGATATGCAGTAATATCTGAGTCTTTCCAATCGCTTGGCACATTTATCCATTTAAACATGTACTTTTTTGCTTCCCTTAAAAATTTGAGAAGATTTATCCACCTGCCATCTCTCTCTCTCTAACTACCTGGATCTCCTTACTCCTAGTGCCACATGGTAACCATTACACCACGCTGGCTCTCAGTGTGGGAGGGACAACACAAATTAACCCAAGAGGTTTCCATCGTGAAGATGGACTAGAACCTGGGTTCTCCTGTTCATAGTCCAACACCTTAACCATAACATCCCTTTAGCTTTTCAACTCAGTAGCAAGGAAAGGCCCTCCATAAAACCAAATATGAGGTGGAAGACAGAATTGCCAAGCTAAATGGCTGATCAGCACAGGAGCAATTTTGTAATTGTCACAATAGCTTGCCAGCCAATATGCTGTAGTGGTTTCTCTTCTAGGAAAAGGAAAACCTTTAACCAAGCTCACATCCATTTGAATGTCTGTGCAAAGGTAACAGGTAACATCAAATCCACAGAAGTCTCAGAGCTCAAGGCAAGTCCTTCTAAACTAGTTCATGAAAAAACGGAAGAGGGAAATTGGAAGTATCTTCTACTTAAAATCTGAGCACCCATGATATTACCAAGAAACATTTTGGGTGACTGGAACATTTCTGTTTCACCTCTCTCAAATCAATACATTCAAAAACACCCATGGGGGAAAAGATGAGATGGAATGGGGCCTGGGAAAAAGGAAAATTATCCACCCCACTCTTTTCGAAGTAACACAACATAACTTTGTAAGGTGCACAATAATATATAATAATGATTGACACTGAGATGAGTTATTACTATCATGTCATTAGTTGTAACTGTATGTTGTATTAAATTTTATAATGTACTATTGTAATTTATAGTTACATTGGCTCTGGCTGTTGTTCTTGTATACCACTTAGAGTCATCTGACTGAATCAGTGTATAAATTAATTAATTAATTAATTAATTAATTCATTCATTCATTCAAATCAATCAATCAATCAATGTCTGAAACCAAGACTATTCTATTGCTATACAGGTAGTCCTCACTTACCAACCACAATTGGGACTGGCAACTCTGTCACTAAGCGAAGTGGTCATAAAGTGAAACATCATGTGACCGTGCCTGACTTAATGAGAGTTCCAGTTGTGGTCATCAGTGAATCACTGCAGGTTGTTAAGTGCAATGTCACATGACCGCAACTTGCAACTTCCCGCTGGCTTCCCCATTGACTTTGCTTGTAGAAAGCCAGCTGTGAAGGCAGCAAATGGTGATCATGTGACCGTGGGACGCTGCCACTGTCATAAATACGTGCTGGTTGCCAAGTGTCTGAGTCATGATCACGTGACTGCAGGGATGCTGAGACAGCTGCAACTTTGAGGACTGGTCATAAATCTCCTTTTTCAGCACAATTGTAACTTCAAACAGTTGCTGAACAAGCGGTCAGTAAGCGAGGACTACTTGCACTCATTTGAGGAGTATTCGGGACAGATTGCTCATTCATCAGTATACATTCAGTGACAGATGCAAGTTGGATCTCAAGTAACTTCCTATTATCATTATATTAGGTTAGACATTCCTAGGATTGTCAATTGGGCTCTAAAAGTCATGCTTTGGTAAGGACACTTATGTTCTCCTAGAGCAGGGGTCAGCAACATGGCACCCACAGGTCTTAAGACATCACCAATTTCTCTGGATGCCATCTGCAAACTCCTTAAAATAACAGAGAGAGAGAGATACAGAGAGAGAGAATGAGAGAGCAGACTGCTTAGGATCTCAGTCTTTTCACATAAGGTTTCAAACAAGAACTTATAACATCCCCCAAATCTTGTGAGATTTTGGCCATTCTTATATGATTTGGTGCTACACACCCCAAAAGGTGGCAAGGCCTACTGTAGGTTGTATCTCTAATGCATCCCACAATTTATCAACATACAACAGGTTTATGGATACCTGGAGGACGGGGGAAAAACCGACAAGAGACTGCCAGCAGTAGGGTAGTGATATATGTGTTTTGCCAGTGCTTTACCTGGCTCTTTTCTGACAGAGGCTAAGAAGAGAATTTTCAAGCTTTTTGGTCAAATGTCCTTGAGGTGTTTAGTCTATGTTTGTGTATTTTATTTAATGTTTTCTTTTCTTTTCCTCCTTCTTTCATTTATATGTTATATATTAGCTTTGCCATCTTTATCATGCTAACTTAAATCATCTTGTTTTTAAAATCTGAAATGGGCTGAAGGTGATATTTGTAAGTTATTCTCCTTCTCCCTATCTACAAAGTTTAAGAAGAAAAAGCAAAGCATAAGATTGAGAAAGGAGAAGATCTTTGTCTTTGTATCATCATCATCATCATCATCATCATCATCATCATCATCATCCAGATGGACAGATGGACAAGTCATCCCTTCATCCCTCCACTCTTTTGCTCCTGAAGGCAACTTACTTGGCTGCCATGTTGTTCTCGGGCAGCAGGGACATCTCAAGAACCTTGGTTCCACTAATGATAGATTCGTAACTAGTGGTGGCCACCATTTTCCCAGTGATGCGATGCACCTGGTAGAAAGCATGAGGACGTAGGTTTCGCTCATCTGCTGTGCCGATGAACATTTGTAAGGTCAGAGGTTTTTCATCGTATCCTAAAAGCTTGAGTGGGAAAAGAGAAGAAAGTCATAAGCCCATCTCTTTACCTCAACCACAGATTATTTGTAATAAAACAAAAATATCTATATCTGAATCTTAAATGCTCCTTCCATGTGTCAAATAATTTGGGGGACAATGCACCAAGACCTCACAATGATTCTCAGAATCAGATTTTTAAATCCAACTTTCCAAGTATTGTAAAACACATAATTTTAATGTGCCTTTTTCCCCAGCTGACTGACTATGGGTGCCTATCTTGGGTTTTATTTGGTGGCTTTTCTTCGGTGTTGTCTTTTATTCTTGATATTCATTTGGATTTAGTTATTTATTTTTATGGGATGGGTGTTTGTTTTTGCACACAGCCCAGAGTTATCAGAACCTAAGCAGTGCCCATCTAGTCCAGCAGTCTGTTCTCAGAGTGGCCAACCAACTGTACAAGGAAGCCCACGAGTCTCCCATCAGATGGCCTTTGGTCACAATGCCATCAAGGCTAATAACCACTGATCTCCATGACTTCCATGAATCGGTCCAAACTTATTTTTGAAGCCAGTCAAGTGGGAGTCAGCACTACATCTCATGGTAGCAAATTCCAAAGTTTAATTATGTGTTTTATATATATAAAAAAATCCTTTTTCTGTCCTGATGATTTCAAGTTTCAGTTTCATTGGGTGACCTCTGGTTCTAGTATTTTGGGAAGGGGAAAATAGCTTCTCTTTGTCCACTTTATCCACCATGCATAATTCTGTACACCTCGATCATGTCCCCTCTCATTCTCCTCTTTTGTAGACTAAAAAGCTCCAAATGTCACAACCTTCCCTCATACTGAAGCTGCTCCAGCCCTTGATCATCTTAGCTACCCTCCTCTCAACCTTCTCTAATTCCACTACATCTTTTTTGAGGCAAGTGGGATTGGGGTGTGTTATTAGTACAGTAAAATCAGTAAATAAAAGAAATGGATTCTCAAAGCTCAACGTTCCTTTCAGAGGTTCAGGAATACGTTTGAAGATACAACAATGTCAGTGGGTAGAAAGCACTCAGTGGATGCATGTAGCAGAAGGGTGCTTGAATTAACAGAGATCAAAAATGTGTGTAAAAAATAAAATAAAATAAAAATCCCAGGTTCATTTGGCAGCCATCACCATCTCCAACCAGTAGGGCTAAGAGGAAGAAAAGGGGCACCCACATCTATGAGGACACAGAATAATTATCAACACTCTCAGTTGAAAGGAAAGGGCTGGCTGTGACGTGTCCTTCGGCTTCTCCAGAAGGCTAAATTCTTATAATTTAAAAATAGGCTGTAGGGCAAATCCCTGGCTTAAATTAAACCTCATCTATACCATTCGCTCCCTGCCTTCACTGCCACTATCCCTTCCCAGAGGTCCTCGGGAGCCCACAACAGTGCAGCTGGAGACTTTAGCAGTTCGGTGGTCTCGTCTCAGGGGGTTGGCCAGATGTTTTCTATCAGAAGCCAAGCGGTAACAGCTGCACTCGATTTGAAACGCTCCCTTTTTATATCCCCCCCAAGTCACTGCAGATGGAACATTCCATGAAGCTGGAGGGGGCTGGAGGGGAAACTCAGGGAAGTGGCTTGCCAACTTTTGGGGAGGGGTGAGGAAAATCAGAAGCAAGAAAACTGCAGGAGTACTGTAAAATGGAAAGGAAAAAAGCTTTGATTTTTGAAAACAAAACAAAACAGAAACCTCAACAATGCAGGGACAGATCCTTCAAGGAAAAGCGAGGCTGGGAAGCCAAGGAATTCGTCGGAAAAGTACACGAGAGAGAGAGAAGGCGTTGTTTGTGCACAAGGTTTTCCCTCTTTTCGAGCACCGCTTGCTTTCTCTACAGTTCACAAACCAGTGACGTAGAGAGATGGACGGAGAAAACCAGTGCTGTGATTTAGGAATCTGAGCGTGGGAAAGGGCAGGCTTCACATCTCGGGGATGTGGCAGGGAAGGGAAGACTGAAGCAGGCACAGAACTCGATTTCTAAACGGGAGGGTGGGGAGAAAAATTAATCAAAGCCAGAAAGACGCTCTTTTCTTCCTCTCCAGATCTCCAGGCTGAAGGCAGGGTGAAAAATCTCACCAATTCAAATGATGAAAGTGGATTACATTTGATGTTAGGAAGGAGGACTGGGATCTAGTATAACGAAGAGTTCATTACGGTCATATCAGCCTCAAGAAGTGGTAGCCTACAGTTACCATCATCCCATCCCATCCTGGCTCATCCTGGCCAGTGACAAGAGTTGTAGAGTGCACCCAAGTTTCATTGGGCTGAAACCCAATTTTCCATCTCCGTCCTCCTTTCTTCTCACTACAAGCCCAAGCTGGCCAAATATCACCCACTCACTCCCATATTTAAAAGAAAAGGCTTCTTTAAGCTAAATAAAGTGGGCATCTATTTCACAATTTCTGAAGAAAAAAATCTGTGACATTTGCGCTCGGCTTTGTTTTGTTGCTTTGTACACAGCGAGGGAAGTCTTTGAAGTGGGAATAGTTTTCATCTTTCAGATTTCTGGATGAAGGCTTTCCAGCTAGACTTCCCACCCCCCTCCAGTTCCCATTCCCCCAGCCTCCCCAAAAGCCTGACTTTGCTTTGCAGATTAGTCTACGTCTGAAAATGTCATACCACACACACACACACACACGTACATGCAAACAAAAAACTGCTGGAGATTGGGAGTGAAATGAAGAGGGTTTCAAAACAGAAAACACCGAAAACAAAAAAGAATCTGCAGGACGAGGCACTGAATCGCTCCTCTTGAAGGCAACACAATTTGTAATATATAGAAGATGAAGCTGTAGTCATGTGATGGCAACAGAAAGGCACTCTAATATGCCCAGAAGTCGTCTTAAGTTCAAGGTTAAACCATAACAAACAGAATATTGGTGCCTCTTTCCGGCTACTAAATGCAACCCTGACTGGAACAGATGTATACAATATACCCATGCTGAGAAGGAAATGTGTCTCATTGACACTCTGTATTTTTGATGAATGTCTAAAGGAAGGGAGAGCGTGTGAATCCAACTTAGAAATACTTTGCATTTATATAGTGCTTCAGTACATAAAGCATCTGACTATATGACCCATATCTAATAGTTAGAATTTGGCCTCGATCTCACACACACAGAAGGATGCGGTTGGAGAATGCATTTCTGAAGAAAAATGAGAAACGTCTATTTTTGTTCCGAGTTCCTTGCCAGCAAGAGAAAGAAAACCCTAGCACAGTGTTTCTCAACCTTGACATCTTCAAGCTGTGTGGATTTCAACTCCCAGAATCCCCCAGCCAGCATACAGCTTAAGTCCATACGGCTTAAAGCTGGTAAGGTTAAGAAACACTGCCCTAACTCATCAGGGAAACAGAATGAAAATGATATCATTCTCCCTTTTCTACTTAGTAACCGAGATGTTAGGATCTCTGATGGACTAAGACCCTGAACACATTCAAAAGTGAGAATGCCCCCCTGCAATCTGAAGTGAAAAACATCATTTTAGAAGTTGGACTACAACTCCCATTGTTCCTTAATGGCAATCATAGCCAGGTGTGATGGGAGATGGAATCTGACAACACCTGGTAAGCCTCAGCTTCTTTCAGCCTAAAGCACTGGGGCAACTCTAAGAAACCGGGGGGGGGGGGATCTGAACTGAGCCCTTTCTACGTCAGTCATACTGTGATTCCTTGGCTTTTAGCTTAACATGTTGTTCAAACTCAGCCACTGTGTTTGGAAACCATGACTTATGAATCATGCAAATAAGGTCAACTGTGGTTAAGTTAAGCATGGCTTAGTGAGAGCTTTGATGAGAGGGACAATGTACTTCTCTTTATGCCCAGAGGGCCCTCATGGCAACTAATAAGAAATTACAGCAGCTATTCCATCCCTGAGTTACCTTCACCACAGGATGTCCTCCTGGGGTGGCTTTCACTGCACCCCTGCTGCCCTCTGTTTCATAGTGGGCCCGGTGATGAGTTCGAGGCTGCACTTCAATCTTCAGTTCATACTGCTCATACTGACTGGGGAGAGGCCAGTCCAGAGGTGGAAGAGCAGAAGATCTGGTGAAAAGTGAAGAAAAGCAGAAAGACATTGAGGCTGACCTTGGTAGACCATCTCTACAAGGTGCAACAGAGGATTGCCAGGTCAATGTAATGGCAGGATTGGACAGATTCAGGAAGTCAAAAGGCTGCCATCTCTGGTGTCAGATAAACGTCCTGGGAATCAGACCACTTTTTCCCAAATCTTGGTCACTTGTGCAGCTGCTGAGGGTTGAACCTGGTCCCTTCTTGGCATAAAACATGGGTTTTATCGCAGAACTAGAGCTCTGCTCAAAATCCAGGCAACACACCAACACAGTAAGATATCTCCTACCCCAAATCACCACATCTGGCTACTACTACAGGTGTTTAAACTTCTCCCCACCTCTAGTGTTCATAACTACTGAACTGAAAACTTCTAGTTCCTAGGTAGTACAAGGAAGAACTTCTATTGCAGGCCTTGCTTACAGACCTGCAACACTTCACTAGCCCTCAAGCATTTAAAATGCTGTCCTGCCAGTTCACCTGGAGATGTACTTTCAACTTGGTAGAAGGACGATCCAATTGTATTCAAACTACTCTTATGCCAGATTTTCGGTGTAAGAAGAGCGTTGTTCCTTTAGATCTAAAGTTTATCTATCTTCCCATTCAGTGGCAGTAAATGGCTATATATGCCTACTCCTTGCCTTAGAACCTGGCATTGTGAGGATATACTGCCTTAAACTATGGAGGCTTTACTGTGCCTATATAGTTATTGTGGCTCAGCAAGTCATTAAATTGTGTAAAGATTTGGCCATTGTAGAGTGCCGTACCAAAGTCCATATATTAATCTTATAGTTATTTTCTATTTTGTAAAGGCCACTATGGGCTATTGCTCCAAATCAATTTCATGGTGTAACTTCAGTTTAGAGTCACAAGGGGAAAAGAGGGGGAGGGAAGCCCTCTTTGTGACTGCTGAATATTATATGTATTTTGATGAACTTGCTCTATACCAACATTTTTTTTTCCATACGGAAAATACTGTTATTATTAGATTTCTAACGTTAACAGTAAATCTTCCAATCTCTGTGATCATTTATGTCCCCCGTTCTGGGTTGTTTTCAGTTTTACCATATCCATTTTTAGATGGGACTTCAAAATGGTCAGTTCATGGATTTAATTAAAAGTGACACCACAATGTTATATTTTTCAAATAATAATAATAATAATAAAAGTAATAGCAGACCTCCTTCAATTTAAAATTAAAACGCAGAGGACCAGAGTTCTCAAAAGAAACTGGATCAAGAGCAAAACTCTTCCACAGAGATGAGAATGACATTTGTTTGGTTTACGTTTCACTAATAATTACACTACCACCCCTATTTGCATTTTCGGAAACACTATATGGATGCAGTTACCATTTGCTTTTTGTGCAACCTGTTTTGAAACGTAGTTTTAAAAAAATGCATGCAAAATGCACGGACTAAAGAAAACTGCATGTAAACCTATGTCGGCTTGCTGTGTGGACTAGGATTAAAAAATAGCAAAACCTGTTTAAGGACGGGATGGAACAAAGCTGTAATTGGGGAAGGAAAAGGTGAACTTTATAGCCAATTAAACAAGCAAGTAATTCTCCCTTTACTCCTACAAAGTTTCCTTCAATCCCCTCAAAGCATCAGCCTCTCTAAGGAAAAACTTCTTGAATTCAGCAGCTGAAGTATCTGAATTGCCAACATTATGCTTAAGAAAACTCAAGGGATTCACTGGTGAATAGAAGTCATGGGCTTCCTCATCTTCCTCCCAATAGGTCCATTATCATCCCACAGTTCAGATATCCATTTTAAATCCCTTGCGTTATATTCATTGTATCCCACCTTGGGGAAAGCACTGTTTTGAAATCCAGCGTATAAACCTCAAAAGAAGTTCAAAAAATTCCAGCCAGCATGCCTTTACAAAAAAATGGTGGGGTATAGGATAGAATAAAGCTGACTCTGAATTTTAGAATAATAAAGGGGACTGGCGGCAAGCACCAAAGTAAGAAGGCTGATCTACCACGCAGGCAAAATTCTTCCGATCCAACTGCTTACCTTAACAGGGAACGAACCACAGTCTGTTTATGCCAGCAACCCATCCCGCCAGCCCCGGAGCTGGGATCTGGGATGTGTAACTGGAGACATCAGCCCTTCTGCCTGGCCTGGCTTGACAAGTTGTTTTTATACAACAGACCCACTGGCAGTCAGACCAGAAAGCTGCTGGAGCAGCAAGTGGCGAAGTCAGGCCAGCTGATTTGAAGGTAGCTAAAAGAATGGGGATCTGGTGTGCCCCATTCCCAGGCCTGGGGCAACGGGACAAAAATTAGGGGGAAGGGAAACAGAGCCATGCTCAGGCAAAAGCTTTTGGACACAAGATCCACACCAAACTAGTTACTTGGTAGGGTAGGGGTGATAAAGGATAAAAAGGAAGGTACTGCTATCAGGTTAGGCTACTGCTGGTGTTACGATTATGATGGAGATAATGGAAAGTGGGTAATAAATTGCATAAATAATACAGAAAGAAACCAGTGTATATAGCCCAGTGTTGTCTAACTGAAGGGGCTGTAGCTTTCTAGGGATAAGGAAGAGAGGGCATGAAACTTTTTCCTTGGAAAGAAGTCTGTCCCTATAAACTGTGGGTTGCCAAATGCTTACCAGGATAAGCCATCATTTCTAGGATTTGGGAGCTAAAACAGAGATAGAGGGAAGTGATGGCCATTACTAACAGTACTCAAGTGTTCTGATCCTGGCTGTCTTGAGAGTTTTTAGTAACAGGATGCAATGAGCACAGGTCTGTTTGCAAATCTGTGGAATTCACCGAGACACAATCAGTGTTTGTCCTTTGGGGAGGAGACCTGAGTGCAAAGGACTGTCAGCCTATCATGGCTTACTCGCCTGCCAGGAAATAAGGTTCTTCTTCCACCCCTTCAGGGTCGCACCCAATAAAAAGAACTTAAATTGCTAGGGTTTGCCCATGATGGTGCCATGCCATAGCTGTGTGGGTTCCTTCATCCAGCCAGCAGCTGCCAGGTGGATGTAGCGGATCCCCTCTGAAAGGAGTGTGCAACTTGGCTTCAAATGCAAGGAAGCTCCCCATTCCTGGAAACTGTGGGGACAAATTATGTCATCAAGTCATGGCAAGGCCCAATCACAATATCATTTAATCACTGGAAGGCAATCAGTCTTGGTCTACCACACACTGGAGTCATAGAGCCAATGACGGGTTATCCCCATCATGCCTTGCTTCAACACTACCCCAAGGCATCCACTTGACAGCTCCTTAAAGTCCCTCTCAACAAACTCTTGTTCTTTCCCAAAGTTTGCATTCTTGACAAGAAATGGAGGCAGATGTTCCCCGTCTCAAACGGACCCCACGTACCTGAAGAGAGGACTGTGACCTCCAATACGAGCCTTGGACCAGGCCAATGGGGACGGCACAGCCAGATAATCCATCCCTTCTTTGCGTGCCATCCCAAGCCCCCCGCTGCCCATGGGGCCACCACCCACATCTTCTCCATTGCAGCTCCCTTCCTCCTTCCGGGTCAATGCCACTGTCTGCTCGGTTGAGGTCTTGCGAGCTTTTTGAGGAATGCTTTCCGCCAGCCGGGCTGCGGTGCAATTAAACGGGGCCACATCGTTGCCCGATTCCAAGGTCTCCCCAGGGGCCTCCTCACCAAGACTGCCCCTCCGGGACAGGCACGGAGACACGGAAGAATGTGTCTCAGAGCTGGAGTAGCGCCTCTTGCCACAGGGGGAAGCTGGTCGAGGGCCAAGAAGCATCCACGTGTCCTCTGTTCCCCGACTTGGGGAGTAGCTGGTACTGTAAGATGGCCATGATTCCTCAGCAGATGACCATGGCTTGGGAGATGCTCGGGGTGAGCCCAAGGGAGAACTAAGGGCAAAACGAGCTGCAGCCTCATTTAGCTCATGTTCCACATCATCCCCAGCGGGGGCTTCGTCATCCGAAAAAAAACTCCATGGGGAGACACTTCCACTGCTAGCAGGACTTGGGGTAAAGAATCCGGAAGACGGAGCAGCTTCGCGGTAACCCCCAAAAGCCTCCAGCAAGAGATAGTCCCGAGGAGAAGAATCCCAGTCATCTTCGTCTGTCCGTCGACCTGGAGAAATGGTGGTGATCTGGATGCTGGGGCACTCGAGCACCCGGGACCCTCCCAGTCGTACCCGCCGGGCCGGCTGGCTCTCAAAGGTGTCGCCATCCAAGTCGGCAGGGCGGGGCGGAGGAGAGTGCATGCCAGCGCGGCCCCCACCAAGGTGCAGAGGACATGGGATGCCCAGAGGAGAGGCATAGGGTGGTGGGTCCCCAAGAGTAAGCGAACAGTAGCCAGGAAGAGTGTCTGCCTCCAGGTCTGTAAAAAGACATGAGCATGAATTAAGAGTTCCTCTGTTGGATTAAATCAGGGTTAGCTGGTCCAAAACTTTGCCTCTCAGAAATTCCCAGGAAAGGAAATCTGGAAGTAACTATCGCTGACTACTAGCATTGGGCATTAAAGATATATTGCTCACATACATGAAGCAGTCTTAGCTATTTGGTGCTAATAGTGGCCAGGAGACATGGCCCTTAGCATTAGATGAATACTTCTCTTATTTAAACCAAAAGTTTCTGTGCAATCAGCCACATGAATATCTTGTAGCAATGAATTCCACAAGCTCCTTGTGCATTTGCATTGCTTGGTTGTTCCCATCTTGCCCCAAATTACAAATGGGTGGCCCAGGCCTGAGAGAGGACAAGGCCTCCAGAAGACCCCTGAATGAGTTTCAGTTCTCTTCACTTTCATTGGGCCTTTGAAATATACTCCTTAATGGACACAAAACTAAATCATCAGATATCACTCCTTAACAAGCCAATCAAATAGTGAGTAGTCCGTAAGAATATTATACCTTGCTCACGTACATATAAATTCCTGCAATAGTCATTGCTAATACCGGATGGGCCTAAACAGAAACAGTGTGGGGATAGTGGTTAAGGCTCAACCACAGCAGCTCACTGGGTGAGTTTAGGCAGTTATACTTTCTCAGCCCAACCCACCTCACAGGGTTGTTGTTAGGAAAAATAGGAGGAGGGATGTTTACGTAAATGAATTCCTGAATGAAAGGTGGGATATAAATCTAATAAGTAAAGAGGAAGAAAAGGCTAGAGAAGAAATAGCAACTTTCTACAGCCTCCTTCCCATTTACAAGTGATTCTTTTCTAAAATGAAGATTAAGCAAACCTGCTTTCTAGAGAGGGCTGCATCACCTTTTTTCAAAAGTACACACAGAGAAGGACAGAACACGAGCACGCATACACAGGAAGAAGGAAAACAGAGAAATCACAAATGACTCCACGGCTACCTGATGCAGGCGCAGAATTGAATACAACACTAGTACAACTTCTTGAAAAAAGACCCATTTGTTTCTGAAAGGCCAAGTTTCTAGACCTCAAGTCTGCAAAAACGTCTGGAATCAAAAGCTCACAAATTTCCTCACAAATGAACACATCCACTTTCTGCTGTGGATGTGAGCAAATGTGCAGGTTTACAGATATGCAGAGTATTCAAGTGCATGGGCTGTGATTAATGAAAGTAACAAGACAATGCTAGATGAGTTGGGGGGGGCTACCCATAAGAGTCAGTGTGGTGTAGCCATTAAGGTGCTGAACCTGGACAGGGGAGACCAAGGTCCAAGTCCATCCATAACCACTGAAATCCACTAGATGACTTTGGACCAGTTTTTCCCTCTCTTTTTCAATTCCAGTCCAACCTACCTCAAAGGGTTGTTGTGATGGGGATAAAAATGAACCGAGTGCTCCTGGAGAGGCTAGCAATATAACTAGTAAATAAACAAACCCACAGGCTAGCCACATGAAATGTCAGCTATGCAATCCGAGCGTCAATTCGATTCGAGAGCCAAACGTCCAAACAGAAGGATGGGAAACCGAGCTGCCTTGTTCGGAGATTAATCACCAACATTTCAGCTCATGGTGTTCTCCCTATGCCAAGAGCCCAAGTTGAGCCCCGAGTCCTTTTACTTGGGTATAAACAGTTGGTTAGAAAAACCACTCGCAACAGAGAAAGAGATTCATTTTCCTAGAACAAACAAACATTTGGATCAACATAAGAAGGGGGGAAAAAAAGGGAGAGACGAACACTGATTTGTTCAATTTCCCCTCTTTCTCTCTTCTTCCATGTCCTACAACTTAACCCCCTCCTTCACAAAATCTGCTTCCAATTTAAAGTTTTTCTCCTTCCCTTGATTTCATCTCCTCTTGCAAGCTAGGAGTAAGCTCTGGAGACCGAAGGCGCGACTCAACCTGATCCTGTCTCCCTCCAGCCCGCTTCCCTCCCTCCTCGCCCCACCGTTGTCCTTGGCTTTCTACGCAACACCATTTCCTGTGCCTGCCCTGGTGTTTTGGCAGCCAACCCCGTAGCATTTGCTTTAAAAGACTTTTTTCGGCTGCCTTTAGGGATGGAGCGTGCCTAAAGCAGCCTGTCTGGTAAAGCAAAACAATGGAATAAAAGTGTTTTGTTTTGTTTTTAATCAATACATGCAAGCAAGTAGGAGCAATTCCAGCAATCACACACACAATTTCTGGAAAAGCCAGCAAGAATTAAATCAGGCCCTGGAGCTTTCCTGAAGGCCAGCAAAGAGGAGGGTTGACAAACTCATCAAAGCTCATGTTAGAAGCAGGGGTGCGCTACCAAAAAGGCATTTGTCTCTCCAAAAGTCCTTGCAGTAAGTCAAGTAGCAGGTGCCTCTTTCTACTTGCCAGAAAACAGACAAATGTGAACAAAGGTGCGTTGCAACCATTTACGGCTTTGCAGCGTGTTAAACTATGTTAAAACCAGCATACTGAAACCAGCATGTCAAACCAAGCGCAGCGACACCGGGCAGATGGTTTTCGCCACATCAGCCAGCCACTCAAGCTATACCAATATTCTGAAGGGTGTATCTTGCACCAGTGAACTATCAAAATCATTTTTAAAAAGTAGACCCAAATAGCATGAATTATGTAGTCTAGCTCCAACATCACTCCACCATGGATGAATGAAAGAAGAGTCACTTATTAAACTGAAGGTTTGGAATTTTTATTAATTTATTTAAAATATTTATACTGTATGGCCACCCATCTTAGAACCAAACTCTGGGCAGCTGGCAACTGAAGAATAAAACAATATGTGCAAGCGATAAAAGTGGAATGAAAAAATTAACCATTGAATGGCCTGCCTGGGAGCCTTAAAAGAAATTTTAAAACCAAACAGGCCAAAGACTGAGACATTACTCACACTTTCAATCTGTTAAATGATTCAGAAGACACATTTTTACATACATGCACTCTTAAGCAAGCCTTGTCTTTCAAGCTGATTCTAAGGTTTCAAAGAAATTAAGATGCATGTGAGCAACCCCCCCCCCATTCTCTCATCTACACTTTCTCCCTACTATATACATAAGTACTGTACACGGGGGGGGGGGCAGTGCACCTCTGTTGTAGAAAGCACACTCAGCTTTTAGCAGGCACATTCACAGAGGCAGCTGAAAGCAACTTCCTTAAACACAAGCCTTGAAAAAGACATGGCTACTTTAATCATGCAGAGAATACATGTGCTTTGCACGCATTCCTTCATGCTGTGAAGGATTCACAACAACAAAAAATTCACACAGGCTTACTGTTACTGACATTTCAGATTCTCCAAATTGCAGAGCCTGGAAATGTCCTCAAATTAGGCATAGGAGAGAATTCATCTCCACCTTTGATTAAATGAATTTCTTTATCAAGAATTTTTCCATCTATAGCATCTCCATCTTAGCTGACTTAAGGATCA